CGCCGATGTTGGGTGGAAATTCAGAACGTTCCTTCAATACACGGAAAACCTTTTTCCCCCCATATCTCGCGTCCCCCTTGTCCGCAGCAAAAATTATTTGCAGATCCATTATCAGCTACATGAGCTCTACAAAATGAAATATGTCTCATCCCAAAAGGCGGGGGTAAGTTCGTGACCCTTCCTTGTTAGTCAATGAAGTGCCTTTTCCTTTACATTCCCTCCTCTTTTGCTTTTCCCTCTTCCCTTCCCCTTTCTTGTTCCTTTTCAGTTTTCTCCCATCTTCCAAATGGATGCTGCTCTACGCCCCTGGCTACGTCACTGGAGATGGGATGAGCCTGGCGCTGAGCAAACATCATTAAATGCGAGTCGAAAGGCTAACGATTGATTCTGCAGCTGTAAGCTGAGAGACAACGATAAAACAAGTCGCGTTCATCGTCTCAAATTCTCGATTAAAAAACCCAACAAGAGACGATTTCAGTGGAAAGATTCGAAGACTCCCCTCCCACAAGAACATATCGTCTTCTTCACGCTTTGATCAGTCAGTTGTTCAGATTCTCTCGTTTGCACTACTGAGAACATGAAGGGAATATCAATTGCGAAACGTGCACACTTATGATATGCTGAACTTGCATTTGTACATACTTGCACTATTCTATGAGCAATAATCTTTCAAGAGCATTCGGAACACAAGACCATCGACTGATGACAACAGCATCTCGGTCACGATCGAAAAACAGTCATATCAATCAATCACCATGCTGCGTTCATCGTGCCCTGTGTTCATGTCGCTTCTGCGTTCGAATTCCTTCGTCAATCCGATTAACACTTGAATTGAACAATGAATGGCAGGGCAGGCACATGTTTGAATGGATGGATGAATGGGCGATGGACAATCGTTCTGTGAGCTAATTATCTCATACCTTAGTAAGTACTGTCTGCTGTCTAGGTTCCTTCGTTCATTATCATACTGGAGTCGTCATCTTACGTCCGACTTTGTTTTAAGTTACTCTTTATCTCATTCATTTCTATCTTTTCATTTCATATTGCCTGAAACCCTCACTACTTTCTCATCAACCTAGTGGTGTTGCCGAGCTTGTCCATTCTCTGCAATCGTTCCAATGCAGCCTTCGGTGAGTGGAAGCTTTGTGTGGTGCTGAGTGATAGATCGACTGATTGAACTTAAACTTATGATGGATTGATCTATTTGTTCTTCATTCAAGTATTTGGCGATCAATTTTGTTATTTTGCAACTCATTTTATTTGTTCTTGATATCAGCATGATGTTGCTTATTTATTTGTGAGTGGTTGTTTTGAAGGGTACTCATTTTGCCGATATATTATGTGATTGCCATCGTTCAAAGTGGTGCACTCGGTTCTTTGGGGGCTACTATCCAGATATACTGAAAATATCATCTGCTTTAGCTGCCATCGAATTACCTAAACCAAACGTGAAATGTCTATATGTAAGCATATTTCTTTATCACTCCTTATCATCCCCTATGGATCGTCTGATTCTTCGATCACACGATATAAGTCAGAATCAGTCATTACAGATTATGGGTTGTTCGGCCAGAGTCATTTATAAATTTGAATCAATTCACAAGATGTTGAATCGCGACTCGCGAGAATTTGTCAAACATAGCGTGCGATGGAGCACGGAGAGAAATCAAGAAGGGCATTCGGCGTTTCAATGAAATGGTTCGTTAGCGAATGAGAGAAACAGTGAAGTAGAAAAATATTGACGGCTTTTGGTTGGTTTGATGAGAGGAGAGAAATTTGGGTTAGTCACTAGATAAATTGATTGGTTGATGACAGATGCGGAGATATTGATGTTGGGTGGAGAGAGACGTGTGCTGCAGAGATTAAACAGAACTTAACTGGTTGGAAACGAAGTAACTCGCTGAAAGTAGAGATGGATAGATGCAGTGTGATAGTGCCG